TTACGCTTGCTGTTACTTAAACATTGCGGCTCCCTTTCACATACTGATCATCCTTCTCGCCTAGACCATATATTATGCGTGAATCGCTTTCTCTATGAATTTTTCAGGTTCTGAGGAAACAAAATGAGCGAAAGATTATGTCGCAGTTCAAAGAGGAATTTAAGAAAAAGCAAATAAACACGAAGTACGTAGGCATGAGCTTGGTTATTCGAGTTCCTCTGAGCAGGACCCACTGAGGCTGTTTTGTCCGCAACAGCACTAATATATGATACTGGGATTTCCACCTCAAAGCTAACATTTCCTTCCTTTTCTTTCGTGGTTTATTGAGTGAACAGAGAAAATGCAGATTGTAAATTAGCAAACTAGTCCCTACAGATCAGGCGCAAAGGAATGGACTATAAAATAGTTCTAAGAATCAGCTCGTTGTTTCATAGTTTATTTTTATAAGAATTTAGGCTTTTTAGCTTTAGCATTAACTACAGTTCCTTCCTGTGAATGAAATACTGTTCTTTTCTTACCGAATTCCCAGAGAATGCAAGAACTTCGACTTAAAGTGGCTATCAATTGTTAAAGGTATCTGGCAAAATTGGGTAGAGGATTACTACTGTAGTAAGCTCCCTCTCGGGCCACTCTACTAATCTTCTATAAGATCGTGGACTGTATTTTTCGAGATAGTAAACACATCAAGCAGAAAAACTTAAGAATAAGGTGCAGACACATTGAATTCCTTTAATTAGGAGCAACGCGTTTTCTCTGTAAAATGAAAACATGGAAATGGAACAGTTGTCCGCAAGGGCGGGATATGATCACGGTAAATAGTCCTGCTCACCAAGCAACCAATGTCATTGTTACCAAGAAATTTATGAAGTCCTGTACTCAGAAAATCTACATTCAAAATGTAACCGTACCAGGCCGTCGTATCCTTAATCTCGGTCGTTGACTGAGTTTTTGTGCGAATTTGTAACTCTTGAACACGGGGGTTGTTCGGGAATGATAGTCACTGTTCGGTGTCGATGTTGCTACCGGCGAGGAAAATCGTGGCAGGATTGGAGCAGGTGCTAAGACCTTATCTAATAGTCCTGCTGCTTCACGCTGTGATGCGGCAGAGGCGACACTCGTACCGATACCGTAACCCGACCCATGAGCATCTAAATATAGCTTTCGACCGCTGTTTCATGAGCGGTTGAAGGTGGTTATGGGGTTTAACACACGGTGTTGTTAGACTAACTTAGACTAACTTAATCGGCTGTAGGTTAGCAATGTTCAGCTTACACGAAACAAAGGAGGGCAGGAGGTATAGCAATAGTATGGAAGGGTTAAGTTAACAGCTGGGTTACGGTATTAGTTCGAGCGAGTATGTACGGGGTAAGGGT